AGTATTTTATAATGCAAGTTCTCAAAGTGTGTATTGCTATACATAAAACAAAAGATCATAAAACTGCCACTTATGTTTTACAAGCAAAAGTACCCATCCCCAGTGATGGGAAAAGTTTAAGTTAATTTGTCAATTTAAATTATTTCATGGACTTAATTGTTTTGCACTCTTGATTTAACTCAAAGTTAAAGCTCTGAACTACTTATATCATCCACTGCAAAAAGTAATTGTTGAGCATTTCATTCATGCTAAGAGCCACTCAGCAATAACATATGATAAATCTACATTTTTATTCTTTAAGTTACGTCATATTTTGAAGTGTCGATGATGGTGTGATTAATTCCTAACAATATCCTGCTTGTGAAAAAAAATTTGGCATCAATGTTATTCATGCCTGCTCTCTCGTCATTTCATGAAATTGGAGACAAACAAATGCTTGCACATACACCATGGTTCACAATATATATAAGATTATTATTCCAACAACCATTTAGTTTCTGGAATTTAAAACATGAAGTATTGTATGATGCACTGAGTACTTTTTTTTAAGTTTATTATCAATAGTAAGATATTCTGCTCAAGTTCACATTAGTCCTAAATCTGATCTAAAAATCATTTTCTTGTGTTCCAGACAATAGAAAGTTAGAAACCTAAAAAACTTCTCACATCCTGAAAATATTAAGCTAATGTCAAGATTTTTTCAATATACAATCTGAAAATGCAAGTTCCCTTTAATTTTTTGAGATTGTTATATAGTGTATCATTTAAAAATATTACTTATTTGAGGTATTTTTTAGAATATTTTTTTAAACATTTTTCAATATGCTACTACTAATTTTGCTGTTTTCACTAAGCAAATGCTTGGCAGTAAAACCTTGTATTCTTTACCAATCACATTTAGAACAAATTAATTTCAAACATAAGCAAATTATTACTGAATATGAGGAAATATTCTAACCAGTTTTAATGAATAACTACTTATAGTAGAACCGAGTTTAAATTAAAACAAATTAAATATTTGTTTGGGGAGGTATTTCACTCTAAACAAATATTTGTTATAAATAAATTTAACAAATTTAGGTTTTGAAACTTAATGGCAAGTAAACGTAGTAAATGCTGCTCAGCACTGCTCAAGAAACTTCAGAAGATTCTAGGTGATATTCAAGAATGTGTCAAAATTTAACCAAGAAAGGATAATTTAAAGCTTGGCACATTAGGTGTTACATTTTTTTCTTGATTCTATGAAGGATCTGTTTGTTTTTTTTAGTTTTAGTTTCAGATATTTTTAGTAAATAGAAATGTGATTTTCTTTGAAGAAATGCTGTATTCAAAAATTGACTTTTAGTACTTAACTGCATGTTCAGGTACACTTATTTATCTGTAGTAATGATATTAAGGTTAAACAATTATATCAGATTCATGGCTGTGTTGAGTTAAAATTACTTCACATACACCAAAAATGAGTTTAACAATTACTTCTTGTCTTTTCTTAGCTAAAGGATTGAATGATCGTCCTCTACACAGTGTATACTTACGAGCTAGGAAACTATTTTCATCAGGTTTCCGTCAGGGAAGGTAAAGTCTCCTTTATTTTTAAGCTTGAGTTACAGCATTTTGAAATTTGTTTCTTTTGAGATTGCTAAACAGTCTTTGATAAACCTCTTTTTGGTGGTTTCTCACAATAAATCATGTTTTCCCAAGTGATTTTTAAAAAAAGTTTTTAATATTTAACAGTAATAATTTTCTTGACTTTACTATTTCTGTTTATGAGACATGTATACAAGTTTCATAAACAAATAGACCTTAGATTTATTCTATCTAGCAATAAGCAAACTTAACTTTACTACATATTATTTTACTCTATGGTTAAGGCTATTATCTCTCGTACTTGCAGATTGAATTTAGTATTTTGTCTTTGTGATCGTGCAAATTACTCGTTTTCTTCTAGGATGAAAAGTAATGAATTTTCAAGAGCTCTTCAACTGTACCAGATACATGGTAGAAAGTGGTCAAAAATTGGTAAGACACTAAACAGAAGACCAGACACTGTGAAGGACATATTGAGATATCGGACAACAAAAGAAGGTATGAATGTGAAAATCATGGAGAAGCTAAAACAATAAACTTGTAATTAGCGTATAAAAAATAAGGTAATCATGGAATAACTTGCATAAATGGAATGATACAAAAAATTAAAATATGCTAAAATTATTAATACAATTGTTTAGTGTTTTAACTAGCATTAACTCATTTTAATATAGTATTTTAGGATGACTATCAGATTACCTGTTTGTGTCAATAGTTATTGGAGTATGGAGTCCAGAGGAAGATGAATCATTGATAAAGGCAGTTCAGGAATTCATTGGGTGCACTGATACTGAAGGAATATGTCATGGACTCAAATGGGTAGAAATTGCGAAGCTGGTTCCCACCAGAAATGAAAGTCAGTGTCGCCAACATTGGTATGTAGAAGAAAACCAGAAAGAGTGAAGAAATATAATTCAGTGTTTACAGTAATTTACAGTGTTTCTCTAAATCTGTTTGGACAGTATTTATCATTACAAACATGACAGAAAGAGGAACTGCAACCTAATACTTGAAATTAAACTTAACCCTATCACTACAATTCACGGGTCAAAGGCTATGTCATTGTGTTTGTTGACTTGCATTCAAAATTTTATTGAAATAGTATTTTATAAATTTATGTCAATAAGTTTGATATCAAACTGTAGATTATAATTCAAATTTTAGTATTATACATTATTCAATTTTTTAATCTAAAAGTAAATATGAAAAAATACAGTTAAACACCAATTTTTCTGTCACATGGTATGTTGAATGCAGCACTGGTTCAAATTAGATGATTATGATGTCAAGTCTGTAGTTTTGTGCAAATAAGAAACCCAAATTACTGATATTAACAAGCTAGAATATAAAATAAGAACATTATCTTTTCTATTTGCTGAGATATCGCTCATGTACTGAATCAAACACAGTGGCACCACTCACCTCTTTCCATTTTTGGAAATGGTCCCTTATACACACTTACTTCTATATATGACATATGAATAACCAATCATAAGCTCAGAATGTCCCCCTAGTGGTTTTCTCAGTCATTTTCATATGTTAGGATGCCATTTCGTTCTTTCGAATCAAGATTTCAAGGAGATAGGTTGTGTTTTTAGTCTGCTCGAAATTTCATATTTTTTTAGACTGAAACACATCTTAGTTACTACGCTTCATAAATTATAGTGGAATTCTATGGTATTGATATAGTAATTTATTAATTTTTGGTTATTCAACTGTATATATATAAAACCTAAAAATATTATTTCATATCCTCCACTTGTGAAATTTTAAAAGGCTTAGCAATCTAAGTCAAGCAACAACCAAGT